CTACCACAACAATCTGAGTCAGAATAACTATCTAATATCATGGGTTAAAATAAAAAAAGAAAGGAGTGCCAGACTAAAACTGATTTAATGGTTCACAATTCAACCATCTCTCTTTAAGCACAAAAATGCTCCCACTTCATCAGGGCTACAAGACAATACAAGTGCGAAGACGTACAAAATATGAAAATTGTAAATTAAAAAAATTATGGGATCAATATCTACCTATACATAGTGCCTAAAAGTGCCTTAAAGTGCCTAAAAAAATTTATTATATTGTATATAAGTACCAAATTAATTTGTGAGCGGTATAAAAAATAACTCATAATGCTATAATGGTAAAACAATATGATATGTTACACTAGTGTAAAAATATAAAAATAAAACCAAAGTATAAAATCAATGATATTTCAGTATATAACTAAGACCACTAACAAGAACCACTACAACGTGATCATTAGGGATATCAAATGTGAATACTAGGACTAATGCATCTGGGATATAACATAAAAGTAACATAAAAATACCATTAAGCAGGTACTTTAAAATGCTGTAAATAAAAACTTTATAACTTCATTGCGCGCAGATAAAGACCATAAAACGATTGCAGTGGATTAGATCATTTTAACTGTATTTCCTATGCAGCAGTGACTTAGAACTAGAGGCAAAACGTTTTTTTTTTTTTTTTTCATTTTGGATTTATTTATTTTTATTTATTACCAGTTCTTATATAGTGCCGCAGTGCTTTACATATACTGCACATTCACATCCGTCCCTGCCCTCATGGAACTTACAATCTAAGGTCCGTAACTCACATTCATACATACACATACTAGGTCCAATTAAGTGCCAATGTAAGCTATGTGTTGTGACAGATGTTTTACTATGCAGACACACAGGAAACAATTGTTTTTCCTATGTGTCCGTGGAGTTTTACACTGCAACGCATAAAATGTGCCCAGCACTGTGCTGCAATAAAATGCACACTGGCAAGAATTGAACTGCAATGCCAGGCAATGCAGTGCATCATTGCTGCTGGATATTGCAGTGAATGAAGTGTACATTCTATACACTTCAAACAAAACTTGTACAAAAAAAAGGGGAGCAGTGCGATGCGCTGAATCGCGTGCCAGCCTGCCTCCTAGTGAAGCAACAGAGAGCTGTGTTATGGCGGTAAAGCGTTGCAGCAGCTCTCCTGATAGTGTGAATTTGCCCTTAGAAAGGATCCAATTAACCTACCAGCATGTCTTTGGAGTGTGGGAGGAAACCGGAGTACCCAGAAAAACGCTCACCTCTATAAGGTTTATTTTTGCCATCTGTGTCCCTTCTTTTTGGACAGGGGAGATTTCCCTTCACTTCCTTTCCCATAGCCAAAAAACAGAAAGAAAATCCCTCTAAAGTGGAATCGACGATTGCCACCAGAACTAGTGTCCCCATTGGAAGATATTCCACACAATTCATGTTCTGGGAACAACACAAAATTTGGGATTTTCTTGTGCAGTACTTTCACTTTTTTGGATAACAGTAAGAAGGAAAAATAAAGAGGGTTAATCTCCCAAATGGGTTCATAGACAGCAATAACAAGTGACAGGTTCTAATCCCTCTGCACTCCAAAACTGAATAAAAGTTTTTCCTTTAGTTATACTTTAATTAACAACAAATGTAACAAATATAGACTGCCACATAGAAAATAATGCCAATGTAATCGTATGTTTGTTTGTTTGTTGTATGTTTTTTCGGCGAGCTGGTGGCTGCGTGACAACGCTAGGCTCCGTGATTGATAGTGGAGTACAACGACTTCAAAAAACCATTTTTGGCTTTGTTTTTTTTTTTTCGTTGTTTTTTTTTTTTTTTTTTTTTAATAAAGGACTTGTCAAAAACTTTGTTTTGTTTTTTGTTCAATAAAGGATTTTTTCAAAAGACTGGTCTCTTTTTTTTTTTTAACAATATTTAACCCTTACTCATTTACAAGGGAGGGAAGCACCGGGGTGCTCCCTAATTTCAAGGGGTACCCTGATGCTAATGAGCTCCCCTGCCGGCAGACTCCCACCGGGCCAGGGTTGTGGGGAAGAGGCCCTTGTCCCCATCGGCATGGGGACACCGTCCCCATGCTGAGGGCACATGGCCTGGTAAGCTGCAGGGAGTGTGGGGGGAGGGGTTTCTCTTTAATAAAACCCCCCCCCCTCCTTTCCTGGCCTGCCAGGCCTGTCTCTAATAAAGGGTACCCTGGTAGGCTAATGAGCTCCCTGCCGGCAATCCAGGGGGTTTTTGAGTGGTGGGGTTTCCCTTAAAAGTCCTGCTGAGGGCACCCTGGCCTAAAGGGCCTACCCCCCCCCCCTCCTTTAGGCTTATATGGGGAACACTACACACTTTTTTTTTTAGTTTTTTTTTACTGTGGGATCCCTTCTAACTTTAAGGGTCTGGTAAGAATTGGGGGGGGGGGGGACCCCATGCTGTTTGTTTTTTTTTTCATAAATATACGATTTTTTTTAAAAAATGTCAGTCCTGCTGCAGCAGGTTCTATACATTGTACAGATGTGCAACTTTGCAGGTAGTTTCTTTTTTACTTTAGGCAATGAAAAAAGACTGCCTCTTTAAAAAGGTACTTTTTGATATTTATTTTCCACTGATTCATGTCCCTCAGGGCAGTACCCGAGGCCCCATACCCCTTTTATGGCCAATAACTTGCATATAAGCCTTCAAAATGGTCACTTTTGAATTTACAATTTAGAGTCCCATAAACATTACATTCAAAGTTCGCAGTCGAACATTAATTAGGTTCGCTCAGCCCAACACTAGTGCTGATCACATGCACTCTCCCAAAAAAAAAAAAAAAATTCTCCAGCAATCACACTAGACTGAGCATGTGCAGAGTGCCTCCTAGGGCTCTGTGCTATCAGAGTATGGATTAGGGACAGTAAAAGACAGGATCAAACAGCCTTTTTACACAATGCAAAGGATGGACCCCTTAGGTTCCACAGTGAGTATCCCAAGCATGCTTTACTGCATATACTGACTAACTGTACTATTGTGGGTTTAGTAACACTTTAACATCCTTTCCTTCCACCATTAGTGTACTATAAGCCGCAGTTCACATATATGTGAATTGGATGCATTTTAATCCCATCTGATTCATGTGATATTTGAACCAAAATGCTTTTCTATGGAGCCGGTTCACATATGTGTTAGCTGGCTGCAGTGCGGTTTCAAAACGATTCCGGTATGATTTTCAGCCCGGTTCAGGTGCGATTTCCAATGTCATGCACATTAACAATTGGCACCTGAATCACACCTGAACTGCTGAACGAAGTTGCACTTGCACTTGTTGTGCTTGAAATCACGCTGCAGGCTGACCCGCACATATGTGAACCCAGGCTCAATGTTCAAATAAACACTTTGTAAGATAATTGTTTGGCTCTTCCTGTACTGTTTTGTCATGTGCTAATGCACTTTACTTCATCATCCTTGTATCCTGAGATGCCATTTTCAAAAGAAGATGTATTCATTCGGCAGTTTCTTCTTCATTCTTCTTTGCTGGCCAACCATTGATGTTGTATCTGATCTTGCACATGCTACATATGAGATCTGGTACAGCTTGGTATTGTTCAAAAACTCAGATCTCATATGGCGAGATCTCCTTGGAAGGCACTGGTGACTTTTGATTCTACAGATTATATGTTTGATGTTTATGGATGGGTATGCAGTGCTACATGCACCATGTACAGTATGTTTGTGTTTGGGGAGGGCAAAGGTCTACTTTAAAGAATGATTTACTTACTCGCTCTGCATTTAATGTGCAATTAACCTATCAATATCACTGCCTGCTGAAACAATTACATTCAGTGTATGCTGTGTATGATAACTGTCACAGTTGCTTATTCTCTCAACCGATTGGTCAAGCCATGAAATAGCTGGTGTCAAACTGATCACACCTGCAGTACCATGAAAACTGCAGATTAGCAGAGGCTAAGATGTCAACTTCCTTGGCTATAAAGGATCAAAGGATTTAGTTCCACTTTGAAGGGTAACTCCACTTTCATGGGAAAAAGATAGCAACTGAAAAAAAAATAATATAACATAGCATATACAATTGCTACACAAGCTAGGAGGGTTATTAAGACATATATTTCCTTTCCAATCTGTAGCTCTGCAATTTTCTATAAAATTCAATGCAATATGTCAACCTGAAGGTGTTGTGTACCTGTCATTTTCTGCTTGGCGCACTGATTTCCCAGAAATATGCTCTAAGATACAGTGAGATTTTAGGCATCCTCTGCAACAAAGATTTCATATTTTAGTGAGATACTCCCAAATGATTAATCACATCTAAGGAGATTTAGACCCTGCAATTTCCCTCATTAGATCCCTGCACGTGCATCAGTTTGACTAATAATGAAAGTCATTCCCATTCAGATTCACTTTCCACATCAACATAAACAGCTATTTCTTCAGAGCAACAAAAGGTAGAAATCTACAAGAACGTTTGTTACAATCCTTGCAATGTACATTGATCACCCAGAGGGGATTGTTTTTTTCTCAACAAAAGTGGAGTTATGCAGGCCATACATGGGTCGAATTCCGAACAAATTTTCTCTAGAAAATAAGCATTTTTGTGCATTTTGTAATCCGATGGTGCTACCATTGATTTCAAAATTCGACTGACCATGAACAGAGGATTGGGCACGGGTCTGATTTCTTATCTGTAAATGATCAGGCCCTCAATGTAAATCTGGCCATAAATGGATTGAAATTCATTAGGTTCAGAAGAGACCGGCTGAATTTCTATCTATGTGTGGTCATTCCTGCTCAACAAACGTCAAACTAGTGATCAACTTACCGTATTTTCGCTCCATAAGACGCACCTGACCATAAGACGCGTCTAGGTTTTTAGAGGAGAAAAACAAGAAAAAAAAAATAATCTGAACCAATGGACTGGCGACATAGTACAGGAGATGACCAGAGACTGTGGACATAGTACAGGAGATGACAGAGACAGACATAGACAGGAGATGACCAAACTGCAAATATATTACAGGAGATGACCAGAGACTGCAGACATAGTACAGGAAATGACCAGAGACTGCGGACACAGTACAGGAGATGACCAGAGACTGCGGACATACTACAGGAGATGACCAGAGACTGCATGACATGACCAGAGATTGTGGACACAGTACAGGAGATGACCAGAGACTGCAGACAGTACAGGAGATGACCAGAGACTGCAGGCACAGTACAGGAGATGACCAGAGACTGCGGACATAGTACAGGGGATGACCAGAGACTGCAGACACAGTACAGGACATGACCAGAGACTGCGGACACAGTACAGGGGATGACCAGAGACTGCAGACATGACCAGAGACTGAGGACACAGTACAGGAGATGACCAGAGACTGCAGACAGTACAGGAGATGACCAGAGACTGCAGACAGTACAGGAGATGACCAGAGACTGCGGACACAGTACAGGAGATGACCAGAGACTGCGGTACATACTACAAGAGATGACCAGAGACTGCAGACACAGTACAGGAGATGGCCAGAGACTGCAGACAGTACAGGAGATGACCAGAGACTGCGGACATAGTACAGGAGATGACCAGAGACTGCGGACATAGTACAGGAGATAACTACAGAGACTGCGGACACAGTACAGGAGATGACCAGAGACTGCGGACACAGTACAGGAGATGACCAGAGACTGCGGACACAGTACAGGAGATGACCAGAGACTGCGGACACAGTACAGGGGATAACCAGAGACTGCGTACGCAGTACAGGAGATGACCAGAGACTGCGGACACAGTACAGGGGATAACTAGAGACTGCGGACACAGTACAGGGGATGACCAGAGACTGCGGACACAGTACAGGGGGGGATGACCAGAGACTGAGGACACAGTACAGGGGATGACCAGAGACTGCGTACACACTACAGGAGATGACCAGAGACTGCGGACACAGTACAGGGGCTGACTAGAGACTGTAGACAGTACAGGGATGACCAGAGACTGCGGACCTTAGGTGATGATGAATTTGACAGGTAGACTTCCGCTGAGTTGTCCTCTCTTTAGTGTGGGCACCCGGCTGTGCCCACTGCGTGTGTGCGAGAAGCGCTGCACTTTGTGAATGGCCCGGCGTCTTCTGGGACCTGTCATGTGTCCCAGAAGATGCCGGACCATTCACAAAGTGCAGCGCTTCTCGTGCATGTGCAGTGGGCACCCGGCTTTCACAGTCGGGTGCCCACACTAAAGATGCCGGCGCGGGAAGACTGCACAGCGCTGGACCGAGGAACAGGTAAGGTCCTGCTGCAGAGAAGAGCTGAGCAGCCGGCCCTGACATGCTGGCGGCGGTGGAAATAGCGGACCGGCCACTCCATATTCGCTCCATAAGACGCACTGACATTTCCCCCCCCTTTTAGGAGAAAAAAGTGCGTCTTATGGAGCAAAAAATACAGTATGTCGAATGGGAATATTGAAAACTTTTGTCAGAATACAGTGTCACAGTGGGGGGGATTTCTCCATCTATCTCACTTTGTGTAGAGGGGGGGAACTTTTTTTTTTTTATCAGTCCACTGGCTGATTAAAAAAAGATAAAACCTGTAATCTATGGTCAGCCTTAGCTGTGAACTGTCGGTGTTCTACTGCTGTTCATCACTGCCATTTGACAAAGGTTTACCAATGCCCATTGTTTTGTTTGTTATGTGGTCTATTAATGAGGAATTAAAATATATAGGCAGCACAGTGGCTAAATGGTTAGCAATTCCACCTGGCAGTACTTGGGTCATTGGCAGGGGCGGACTGACCATTTGGAAACTCGGGCACTGCCCGAGGGCCCGGGGTCAGTAGGGGGCCCCATGAGATGCCCCTGGTACCTTTTTCATAGGCTTTTTTGAGTTTGGGCAAGGACACAGGAGCGCCATGATCCCCTATTGCCCGGGGGTCCCCATGAGTTGTCAGTCCGCCCCTGGTCATTGGTTTAAATCCCAACCATGGCACCACCTGCCTGAAGTTTGTATGTTCTCCCTGTGACTGCATGGGTTTCCTCTGGGCACTCCAGTTTCCTTCCACACTCCAAAGACATGCTGGTAGGTAAATTGGCCCTAGTATATGTATGAATGTGAGTTAGGGACCTTAGATTGTATGCCCCTTGAGGGTAAAGGATTGATGTGAATGTACAATAGAGAGCTGCGTAAAGTGACATCACTATATAAGTACCTTTAATAAAGTAATATCAGGTATATTTTCTTGTTTCCACCATCTCTACTTTGTATGTTGACAGCATCAGTGTCAAACTCTTCTATTAGTGCCCCGGAGCCAGATGTTTTGTACTCTGTGTTACATGGAGACAAGAGGCCTTTCCTGCGTATAGACATTCCACGCATACTTCATAGAACTCATGGGAGCTTATCTGGTGAATTTTTTTTTTTTTTACCTTGGATATATTTAACAGTGTTTGAGCCAACACATACAATACTGGCAAAAATGCATCGTAAATAAATTAGATGAGTGACAGTAGCAGATGTAGCACAGTGTATTGTCAGACTTCGCTCCTGTTAAACAATATTGCCGGGATGTGAAGGTCGCTTACATGACTTGTGTACACAGTAAAGCAAACATTTTTCTTCAGCAGAGAATCTTCAATCATACGCTCATTTAAAGGCAGCACAAAACCAACCCCCTTGTATTGTAACTGTGCTGTTTCCCTTTATATTGTAAAGCACTGTGCAAACTGCACTAAATATATCCTGAATAATAATAATATTTATACACATTTCAGTTTTAGGAGTGCACCAGCATTAACTAGATTTCCTAATCATTTTTTTTAGAGTACCCATTATGTACTCATTGAGAAACAAGGCCACCAATGGCTTACCAATGGCAAGTGTGATGTTCTAGGAGGTTTTACTCAAGTGTAGCCCTCATCTAGGGCAGCACAGTGGCTAAATGGTTAGCACTTCCATCTGGTAGCCCTAGGGTCTATTGGTTCGAATCCCAACCACAGTACCACCTGCCTGGAGTTTGCATGTTCTCCCTGAGCATGCGTTGGGTTCTCCCTACCCTTTAAAGACATGCTGGTAGGTTAATTGGATTCTGTCTAAATTGGCCCTAGTATGTGCATGTAAGAATGTAGAGACCTTAGAATTCTCGGCCTAATTTTGGCTAAGATCAAGTGTGGTATCTGTTAATTGTTACACAGCAGTGCCATGCTCAGTGGGGGTGCTACCCGACACATTCTAGTTTACGGGGAGGTTGTTGTACTGTACCCTCACTGGTGGATGGGGGTCCGGAAGGCTAGTACCGGAGGGACAGAAACCACTGGAGCGCCATGATTCGTTCAAGGTTACAAAACCCTTGGGAGTACTTTTTTCCTCTGGGGAGACCGGGATAAAGACCCAGTTCCTCCTGGAACCCTGTGTTTGAGCATGCTAATGGTAGTGGCAGGTCGTGGCACTGGGGCTGAGGAGGCAAGTTTAAAAAGGTGAATTGAGCAGTAAAACATTTCAGTGCCCCCTGCCAAAGGAGACAGCGCTCAGGCTGGGTCACATATCCCTATCCAACACTTGGGTGTGTGGGATTTCCCCACGGTGTGAAGATGACACATGGCTGATATCACTGTTTTTACACTGGGCAATTTTTTTGCACAGCGCCCTAAGGACCAGGTCTTTTGGCTAAGTCCAGGGACAATTTTTGCTACGGGCCTCAGGGCCTGGTCTGTGCACTATTAGGCATGAGGTTGATGATGGTACCACTTTTTTATTTTATTCTTTCTATTTATTTATATCACTCCCACGTTTTGTCACTTTTTGCTTTCTTATGTGTGTGTTTTTCACGGATGGAGGGTGTGGGTCCTCGGGCCTTACCTGAAGTCTAGGGGGAGGATGTGTGGCCATACGGTTCCTTCCTCCCCTGATCCCTAGGGGGTTTTCTCTTCGGGAGAACCCCCTTGCCTAGTACTGGATGTCCGGCTTCGGCTGGGCATAAGGAACGGTGGTCCACCAGGCCTTTTGGCCAGGAGGACCAAATGGGAACCTTGTCCCTGTCAGGAGCTTCGTGCCCCGGGGGGATCGGGTGAACGGTCCAACCCTTTCGGGGGTAGGACAAACACACCCCTAAGTGCACGTTTTTCGTGTGTGTGTTTCTGCACTTGCACTTTTTTGCGGACACTTACGGGTTTTTTCGTTACAGTTCCACGTTTGCGGACTTAAAAAAATGTAGAGACCTTAGAATGTACAGAACTAATATGAATGTACAATATATATATTTAAAGAGCTGCATAAATTGATAGCGCTATATAAGTACCTGTAATAATTGTTACACAGCATTGCCATGCTCAGGTACACCTCTGTACCTCTCACAGCTCCCCTGTGTTCTGGCCCAGGCTATGGCCTTTGGGCACTGATCTCCTGTCTCCAGGGTGGATCCCTGAACCACTGTGAGGCCTTTGATTATGAAGGTTGTGCACACCTACAAACACAGCTCACTGGACTGTTTGAATCCTCCGACCTCCAGAACCCAATCCAAGAGTTACAAAACCCAGAAAAAAAGTGCAAAAAACAGTTTTCTGTTCTCAGAACTGATACTCTGCAGCACGTCAGTCTGCATCCGTGAGAACCCTGTGTAGTCTTTAATCCTAATAATCCAGTGGCAGGGCGTAGCACTGTTACGCTGGAGATCAGATTCAAGTTTAAAACTAGGTTGAATTGAGCAGAAAATAAAACATTTAGTAGTTGTGTTACCACCATTGCCAAATGTGACAGCTTCCTGCATAGGCTGGGAACCAGGGACATATCCCTATCCAGGCCATTTGGGTGTTATATCATGGGATTTCCTCCTGACAGCTGAATGAGAAAAAGGGTGGAGATGCTGGCTGATATCACTTGTTAAATATGGTCATGGGCAATTTTGGTAATTGACACCAACCTCCATCCCCATCCCCATCCCTTTCTTTACAATTGAGCTGTCAGCTGGGAATCTGTCATTTGCAATGAGTCTCTAACAGGAACAGACAAGTTGGTGTTTTTTTTTTCAGGGTGTTGTTCATCGTGATTGATGTATTTGCATTGTAGGATGATGAGGTTGATGATGGATTTACATAATAGGATATTTTTATTGTAAAAGCACTTGTCAAAGTGTGTGGTGTATATACAAGAGAGACACTGTGCTCAAATATTTCTATAGAAATATACAAGTTCTCCAGTGTACATAATCAGAGGTTTGTGCAAAAGTATCAATACATTAGTGCTTGTGAAATAATGCCCATAAGCCCAAATCAAACAAATTATTTCACCACCACAATTCTCCACTTTGAAAGAACTTATGAATGATCAATCCACTACCTCCACTCTTGTGGATCTATGCTCATCTTAATAGCTAGACCTTTAAATCATTAAAGATCAGGCACGCATAGTCGACTGGGACAGACCCTGTTCAGAGAAAGATAATTTACTCCACCAAATGATTTATCATTGGGAATTCTCAAAAATGGCTCAAAAGGAAAAATATAAAGAATCCATAGTACAGTACTCTCTATTTATATGAAAATGCCCAAAAAACTTTTATTGAAGTGCACTCACAGTTTAAAAACAAAGCCACACTTAGGATGCAGTATGCACAAGAGCAGGGACAGCTCTCACCTCTCACAGCTTCTACATGAACATTGTCAAGGATTTAGTGTCAAAGAACCATCAGTTGCTGCTGCTCTCCCTCCTTTGTCTGCAAGCAAAAATGAAAGGACTTGGCGCTCCACCCTACACATTAC